CCATGGCACCGTGCAACAATGTCAATGCCAGGACGTCTACTTTGACTGCTTTGGACCCGCTAGCTCAGTGGGACCGGATGGATCTGCACCAGGAGCATCGGCTTTTTGTCATGCTTTCATCAACGACCGTAGTCATTAACTTGAATTAGTCCGATTTGCCTTCGTCTTCGGGTGGATCCACTGTGCCGATTTGTGGTCTTGTGTGCCACATGCGGTCCGTCATGGCCAGGGCTAGCAGCTACCGCATCCCGTCCCCCTTTCCACTTTCGCTGAAGGGGAGGGGGCAGTATGGGTGCGGCGGCCGCGAGCCTGCCAATGAAAGAAGGGTGAGGAGGACGACGATCGAGTATGCGCTGAGTGGCACGTGGCAGCGGCTGGCAGCGGGCAGTTGCAGCCCGAGTTCCGGTCAATAAAGAAGGTTCCTGGTGTGGTTCCGCGTCATCCCTGTGGAGTTCTGGGCCGAGCAGCCTCGAAAACTCCTAAAAACTTGAAAGTTTGGTTCATGAATAGCTTACTCATGAGTAAATTATAATAGTTGGCATGGACCCAGGAGTAGTTGGCATTATCACATAATCAGTGCATTGTTATAATTTCTCAGTCACATGAATACTTTGGATCACGAGCGATTCCGATCCCCACTGATCCTTATAAAAAGTGTCCAGTATGACACAGGGGCAGAAGTACGCGTTTTATCCTGAGGTTGTGTGCTTAGACGAAAACATAAACATGTTTGTTCATTACAGAAGGCAGGTTTTTGGTTCTAGTCGAAAAGCTAAATTGTACAACTTCACAATCTATCACACAACACTTCCACTGCATATAGACGGTGTGGGCGCGCATTGAAGACGTGGAGGCCCAATTAAGTTCGAAGACAAACTTCACATTCTGGGGAGAAGCAGGGACACCACTGCTCGAGAACTGTTGGAAGTTTTTCACATAAAGTGCGAGCCGTATCTGAATAATGTTCAAATTCTGGGGAAAAGCAGGGACACCACAGAACTGTTCAAAGCTTTTCACATAAAAGGGCAAGGTTCATGATGCATTAGTCACATTTTGTTTTTCTCTGACAGAGAGCACATTCTTCAACCAAAGGTTGTGATGATGTTATCCGAACTATTTGGTCCTTTTCTTTTGCGCATATATGTCTATTTCTATGTATTACATTGCACTAAATATTGTCTATTCGATGTGTGCTTTGCTGTCTGTGGATGCCTTTGCATATATTGCACTGCAGTAATTTTGAAATAAACAATGGAAAGTTTGTGCACCCCTTGAACACTTCCCTCGTTGTTTCTTTGCGCAAAATACTCACATCTGTGGCTACTCTACCCATCTCTGCTGCTGCGCCGTACCGGACGTACCGGGTTTGCTTACAGCCCACGCTATTGCAGCGTGCCATTACACAGCTGCGGAGCCTGTCAACACTTGCTACTTCTAGCATCTGCATGGAGCGCGCCCTCTCCTGAACCCACTACCCACTGTACTTTTAGGTACGATTTAAAAATATAAATCATACTCAGAGTGTGAAAAAATGCTGGAATCTACGACCACTCGCAATGCCCACAGACTGTCGCGTCGCCAAGTGCAATTCAGGGGCATCCTCTCAAGGATGGTCAGTAGACATGGTCAGCAGGCAGAGGCTCCCTTGTTGGCCTGTGCTAGAAGAAAAATGTAAGCTGCAGTTAGTATAAACAGAGCGTCCACGTGACCAATTTGGCATTGCTTGCAGGCTTGTGCACAGACATAAATGCCATTTATCATCTTGTTTTTCTACACATGTGCTGCGAACAGACCTCTTATTCTGTCCATTGGTGTGTTTGGATTTTGATACATGGCAGAGATTTGGCTGCAACTATAGAGTCATCCGTATGTGGCTGCCCCATGAAACACAATGAGGTTCTGTAAATGTTGGGCCTAGCTGCAGTGCAGGCTGGTGCATCAGCTGAATTTATGAGTGTTGGAGAGGGATCTGACAGTACATTGAGTAGGCTGCTATGTAAAAATGAGAAGTCTGTTGGGTGGTGCCAAAGCAGGCATCCTGGGCCACCTCGCACCTGCTCTGGCATTATTGCAGCCGTTCGAGGAGATGCGCTTCCACAGATGCATTGGTACGCACAACATTGACTCTAATCAGGCCGTAAGTAATGTGCTCTCTAGTTGCATATCAGGTTCAATACTGAAGTCGTAATAATTACAAGTGCCTATTACCCCACATATGTGAACTGTTAGCCCCAAGAGTGCTAGTATTTCACAGAGTGTGCCTCATTACTCTCCATGAATGCTGCCCATGCAACTCTCCTGAAATGAAAAGTCACCGATCCCATTGATGGAGAGGCCATTGCCGGGCAGATTTCAAAGACTGGCGTATCAGCCAACCAAAACACTGCGAAAGCATACTCAATTGAAGCATAATTCCTTTAGGGTGCCAGCAAATGCCAGTTGTTTTCTAGTCGGAGCCACGACTTGACAAAAAAAATATATTCTCACTTCAGACAGCATACAAGCATCACACAAGCATGCACACTCTATAGGTATTAATTACAACTCACAATATCACTTAGATGGTTTAAAACAATAGGAACAAGCTTATAACACAACAAATGCAGCCTCATGCATTACAAACTATTCAAGAACACTTAAAGGCTTTGAATATTCACCAAATGTGTCCAGTCGAACGTATCCCTAACATTTGTCTTCATGCAAGCATTCAAAGGAACTCCAGCATTGATCGTCATCATTCGTTTTGATTGTCGGTCAGTTACATCCCTCTTTGGTGAAATTCTTCAAAACAGTGCTGCGTCACAACTCGATTTTTCAAGATCGACTGACCACACTACACGACTCACTTGAACTGTGTCACTTTTTTGCCGACTTCACCATCTCGTCTGGCCCTCCATCCTCCCTCTCCTAGCTCCTTTCTGGTTTTTCAAATATTCCCAGCAATTCTTCAGTGCCTAGCAAATAGCCAGTCAGAGCACAGTTGGGGGAAAGGGTTAGAGTTTTCTTTCTCTGGTTCAGAAATGGTCAGTGCCACTTTAGTTTCTTGAATTCTCTTGATCTGTGCGGGCATGCTTCGGGATGGCATCCCTGGTGGAGAGGGTGGGGGCACATTCGTCTTTTGATAAAACTGCTGCTTGGGGTAGTTGGTTTATGTTTGAGACCAACACGAAAAACACCCAAATAATTCTGAATTAGGTTTTTGTAATGTTGGCATATTAAAACTGCTGAAGGAAGGAATAGGAATGAAAAGAATGTTAACCAATCTAGGGATACTGGTATGCTGCCCTACACAGGTAAAAGGGGTGGGGGAGTTTTAAAGAAGAGGAAAGAGAGAGAGCACACACACATGTAACAGCAATCTTAATGCATAAGGTTTATAATCGTCGGTGCAAGTCTCTTGCTTTCAAGAATTTGAGCACCGCCTTCATCGCCTTCACCCACGATGACTTCTCGGGTCGACATTCAAAAATGGTTTCTAAAACAGCTCAAATTTTACTTCAAGTCAACTTTCTCTAACTATGCAGATGTATAGCGCTGTGTGTGTTCCTTAAGTATTTCGTTTTTTTTTTTTGCACGGGTAAATTTGTTCTTGGATACTTGTTTTTTTTTGGTTGCACACGTCTGTTGAGGGAACTGTCAGTGCAGTGATTTTTTGCTGTCGTCTGGAAGCGGTAGCATGTGCTTGATTTAGTGCTTGTTTGTGACAGAAAGAAGTACTGCATTATGAATAATTGCAAGTTAAAAGGCATTCGTTCATTTCATGTTGATAGGCCTGCAATTTCCTCAACATTTCTCCTTAATGAACAACTTTCTTTTTTATTCTGTTGACTGCTTTCTTTTACTGTTCCAAGAGATGTACAAGATCTAATGTGGCTAGGCAGGCCTGATTCACAGGAAAGTTATGTTCTGTGCATGATTCTACAGCTAACTGTGCAATGAGTGCTTTGATCTTGTCTTTCACAGGGTGCATGGGACATTTGATCTTGGGTCTTTCACAATAATCAGCTGGATTCATTTGCTGGCTTTTCCTGGTGTTATTTTATTTCAATGGAGTGCCAGGAAACACAGTCAGAAGCAAAAGTCCGACCTTCGTGCTGTTTTTCATAGTAATTCTCAGTAAAATGCAATGGCTTGCCGCTGAGTTATCATTTGCTTCCTTTCCCTGAAGGTCCTTTGCGAGCAGTGTTCTTCAGCCATGCTCTTTGAGACTGTAGATAGCAGGGAAATTTGTGATACTTTACAGTACTGTCTTTTCTCGCCTCTGAGTTGCTCAGTGGCACACAACAGATTCCCGGCATTACAACACCTGGAAAAATCGTCTGCCACACTCGCGCACATCAAAGAACCATACTCAAGCACAGGAAACGTGTAGCATGCTGCTCATACACACACCATCACATGAAAAAGCACACAGACAGGCATAAAGGCAACCACACTGTAACACCAATCTGCTTTGTATACTGGAACAGTGGTGCCCTCACCAAAAACAGTGGCCGCAACTGTCAACTCAGCTGAGATGCGTTCGCCGATTGACGGTAAAGCAGGCGTGTTTTATGTAGCTCCTGCGGTCCTGCACGGGACATCTGAATCAGAGGTTAGGGCTAATATGGCTGAACAAAAGAGAAGATGCTCACAATCATGACGTACAGCAGTAGTAAGTAAATTTGAGTCTGCGTAAGGGCAGTTTTGGAGGCTGTGGCACTAGGGACTGATCCTCTCTGTGTGAATTGTTTATGCTCACTCCCATCATGATGTTTAAAGTACTCATCCTATAATTGGCTGACTATAAGATTTGTCACAGGGTGTTGATGAGGCAACAGTTATTGTGTGATAACTTAGGAAGCTAGGTGCCTTGTGCACCTTGACTTTTGTGTAGAGCAGTGGGCTGACTTGTTTAGGGTGCATTTGGTTTGTGAACAGAATGGTGGGCAGTAGAGAGAGCAAAGGTACATGTCTCATTGGAGGCTTTAGGCGAATATTTTTTTTTTTTCCAACTACAGGCAGCAAAGTGATCTTGGTGAGCAATGATTGCAATCTTCGCAACAAGGCCATAATCAACAGCATTGACACACTGTCTGCTGATCAACTGGAAGAGAAACTTTTGCCGCTGGCTGCCAGGAATGACCGTCAATGGCTGCCCGAATCATTCACCAAGTGGCAAAAGCACAGTCCATTGTTGCCGCAGACTTGGGAACATGGAATCTGTATGTACATATGATCATGAAATAGAGTAGTGTAATGACCAGATTTCATTGCCTAACATGCTGTCTTGAGTGTTCCAGTTGCTGCCTCTAATTGTTCAGGGCAGGCTATGGCTGAGTAAAATGCAGCAACATAGCCAGTCGAAATCAGAGCTGTGTTCAGAAATTCACCACAGTAAGAAAAAAGAGGAGGGGGGACTTGTGGTGGGGGGCACTGCAGTACCTACCTGGAGTTTTTTTTTATTAATATGATCGCTTTCTTGAAGTTACATGGAACTTCAAAACTAAATTTTCCAGAGCACCCCATAAAAATAATTGTTTTTATGACAAAAAGGTGGATTGCACCATGATACATCAACTCAATCTACTCAGCATATTTCAGGAAACAATCAACCCTTACCACAATGAAGTTGTTACAATAGTAAATTCAATCAGCAAAATTACAACACCAATCAGCAAAATTACAACACCATGAATGTAGTTATAGATGACTTTCTTTGTAACTTTAATTTTGCAGAATTGCCACTAATAAAACTAATCCATCTAGCTCTTCTTGTGTGTCCTAGCAGCCTTTCAGGCATTATCAAAGTGGTACGAGAGTGGAAATTTGGAAGAGTTAGTTTTGCTTCAGGATGGAGCGAGTGGAAAAAGATAGCTAACTTCTAGCTTACCATTATTTTGTCCTAGAGCAAATTAGTATATGCATGCAGAAAATGGTGAGCACAAGCCTAATGAGTCCAATCACTTTGAGCCCATAAATGCCCTCCCTACAACTTGGCCGGTAATCATGCTCGGCTTGCTTACACAGCCGTCTTTGTTCCAACTTGGCTCTGGTCATGACAACTACAGTAGCACGAACGAGTTCACTTTGTCTTCTGCTTCACTCCAAGAAGAGGAAATCTGCGCAAAAACTAATTTCTCATCAGGCAGCAGCATTCAAAACCACTATCTGAGGGGGGCACTTTTTGGTCGATTTTGATATATCAGTTAGAGCATTTTTTTTCTATAGAAAGTATTACTTTTGCACACACCTCTTCAAAAATATTTTTGCGTTCTATTTCTTCAACACGTTGACAGAAAATGTGTGTGTACCTTGAAGTGATGTTTGTGTTTACCTCAAAATGACATTTTGTTGAGTTGATGTATCTTTTTTTTTGGGGGGGGGGGGGGACTAGAGGACATCAGTAAACAAAAGTTCTCACTTGTGTTAGCGTGTGGGATTTACATAACTGGAATTAAGATCAGTAGTTTAGATGTATTTCACTTTTTAATGTAAAGTAAATCATTCATGAGAAACAATTTTATTTATTGGCAAATATAAAAAAAAAACAAATCTAATTGTTTGTTGTATGCTCACAATTTTGGTTCTACTTCTGTAAAGCATTAATTGCTGCCTTTGAACAAAATTGTGATTCTCATGAAAAATACTATGTACAACTTGAAACTAATTTTGAGCTCTAATGCCACTTGTGTCTATCTTGAAAATTCTTCAGGGATGAAAGTGCTGCACCATTTGCATCTTTCTGTGCCACGCCGTGCCCAAATTTAGTCGAGTTTTATTATCGACCGAGCAACACGCGTGGCCACACAAAGAACGCCAAATTAGTTTGGTCGCGTTATATTTCGGTTCATGCATGAATCTTAATTGTTAAGATGACGTTTGTGTGCATACCTCATTGTGCGACTCTATATATGTTTTAACAGTGAAGCTGTTAGCTAAATCATATAAACTGAAAAAATTAAAATCAGTGTCACTGGCGAAGTGATGACTGCAATAGCAAAAATTTGTAATGTTGTAATTGTAATGCCGCACGCACTCCTTTCTTTCTATTTTTGCTACCACACCATTATGCGTGTCTAGCGCTTACCCCGTTCGAATGACTGTGAACAACCTAGATAATCTTTGAACCTTCCAATGAGATTATACCCACAATGGGGACATAAGAGTTTTTTCGGGAACTTACGCAGCCGCTAGCGATAGCATTGGAACCTTTGATAGCACATGTATAAATGCCAATCCACTTTGCTGCTTGGCAGATTATCGATGGCTGACGCTCTGGTTTGCTACTATTAGTCTACTGCATGTATTGCTTGTAGCAATTTAGATAGTCTTAGAACCTTTCGAAGAGATTACACGCACAACTCGTACGTCAGAGTTGGTTCTGGAACTTAAGCAGCCGCTAGAGATAACACAAAAGTCTTCGATGGTACATGTGTAAATGCCGACGCACTTTTCTGCTTGGCAGATTATCCACGGCCGATGCTCTGGTTTGCTGCTATCAGTCTACAGCTTGTATTGCTTGTAGTGTGACGTTTCGTTTTCCGTGCGAAGGTTCGCCCAAATGAGATTCACTCATGAAAACAGCAGCTGCCGCCTCTACAAAATGCTGGTGTAAGAAAAGACTTACGGCCGCTTCAGGGAGAAATGCTCTTATCGTACAATCTCTTTCTGTTGAGAGCGCACCACGTTGAACTGTTCACGAGCCGTTCACTGATCCTTGCCGATAGCCCACTCGCTAGCTTATGCCAATCACTCCCTTAGAATCAAAGTTCACCGCTGCTGCTTCAGCGACCCGTATCCTCCCCCTCTTTCCCCCGGGTTCCTTTCCGTGCTCATTAAAGATGGGCGGCGTGTTTCATCTCTGCTTGAGCATTGGATGACAGGTCTAACAAGCGGCGGGCGCCTTCCGAGCGACCTTCCGAGCGAGGAAGATTGGCCGCCTCGTTTAATCTCTGCTTGAGCAGCAGCCACGAGCCCGGCTTGCACAATTTTACGTGCGGCTTGAACATATGATGCGCAGGGAATGTTACTAACTTTTAGTTTAGGCGGAACATGGCGTTGACTGCGAAAACCCGTTGAGTGCCCGTGTAGTTCCTATCGTAATAAAAAAAATCACTAAATTACCCAGCAGTGGCGCAGTGAGCCCATCTAAATTTCTTCACGGTTCTGATGTCGGCTGTGGCAATTCAACGACCAGAACATAAGTTTTTTTACATTTATTTTTATACAGCCCTATTGGTTTAGTATGAAGATAACTTTTATTATATTAGTTCATCTCTAGTCTTGAGTTGCTGTTCATGTTAGATGCGGTGTTTTGACCACATTTTGAACGTTGTAGCATTTTAACATTGCATTTTTTATTCATCTGAGTAGCTGTTCAGAGTGCCGTTTATGTTTTTTTGAGTTGCTGTGCTTTCAGCTTTGATATTGTAAAGGTTTATATATATATATATATATATATATATATATATATATATATATATATATATATATATATATATATATATATATATATATATATATGTACTCTCCACAAGATCTTCAGAGAAGAACTTGTTGCCATGAGGTCTACCAAAGTCCCCAGGCATGACCCGGTGCCGACACCAACTTATGCACAGGTTGCCGTGACAATGGTTTTAAAAAAGAAGGAGGTTGCCACGTCAGACGCTGAACTGGAGCGTAGAGGAGCAGTCTTCGCGTACCGCGTGAGGTGGTCAACGGCTGTCACGATCCATCGATATCCTGCAGCTCTTACTAGAAGAGGTCCAACCAGGTCTATTCCAACAACATCAAAAGGTTCCTCTGGACATGGCATTGGTTGCAACAAGCCGGCAGGAGGTGAAGTTGGTCGTTTGCCTCATTGGCATAGTGCGCAAGAAGAGACGTACCTTGCCTCAGAGATGAAGGGGCCAAGCCAAAAAAAGCGGCTCCTAATGCGGCTGTACGATACGTTAAATCCCAAGTGCCCAGCTGTTGGGTCGTCGTAAAAGGCCTCAAGGACTTGCGCACAAAGCGAACGTGGAAGAACAGGAAGTCGACAATGCCCATTATTATTGAAAACGTATCGGTATAGAACATTGCTTTCAATCTTGAATCGCTTGAGCTGTCGGCGCAGCGTGGCATTAGGTGGCGTAGACTTGCCGCAGAGGCCTTCCAAAATGCGCTTGCAGTAGGAATCTTGCTGTTGACAGGAGGCCAAAAGAGTGTATCGGGTGGAAGACAGTGACCCAGCAAGGGTGAGTTCCGACGATGTTAGTTGATGCAATGCCTCATCATGATGTGACGAGGCATGAAGAGACTTATTCGGACTAGATGGTAGTGGGAGAGGGCAACGAAAAAGGGCGTCTGCGTCTCAGTGTTTTTTTCCCGATTTGTACACGACGTCAGATGTGTATTCTTGCAGCTGAAGGACCCAGCGACGGAGGCGTCCGGACAGGTTCTTTAACGATGACAACTGGCACAGCGCCTGGTGGTCCATTATTACGGTAAAATGGCGTCCGTAAAGATATGGGCAGAATTTCTGTATGGCCCAAACTACAGCCAAACATTCTTGTTCTGTTATCGAGGAGTTTCGTTCGGGATCCGTGGGTACGCGGCTGGCGTAGGGGATTACTCTTTCTCGACGAGTTGTGTCTCACTGTACGAGGACAGCACCGATGCCATGGCCGCTAGCGTCGGTGTGCAGGCTGGTAGGGGCATGCTTGTCGAAGTGACAGAGAACTGGTTCAGATGTCAGCGCTGCCTTTAGGGTGTTGAAAGCGATGTCACAATCAGATGTCCAAGAGAAGGCTCTTCCGGACGTCAGAAGCTTGTGTAGTGGCGAGGCAATGGAGGCAAAGCCGTGAATGAAGCGGCAGAAACAAGAGGCAAGACCCAGAAAACTTACTAGTTTCTTTGGATTGTTGGGCTGAGAGAAATGCGTCACAGCCTTCACCTTGTCAGGATCTGGTCGAACGCCATCTTCACTAACAAGGTGACTTAAAACTATAATGCTTTTGCGGGAGAAATGGCATTTTTTCATATTAAGCTGCAGCCCAGCATTGAAAAGACATGTCAGAACTTTGTCGAGCTGCTCAAGATGCTGCCGGAAAGTGGAAGAAAAATAACAGATATCATCCAGGAAACATATACAGGTTTTCTACTTAAGGCCATAAAGAATGGTATCTATCATACGCTCAAACGTTGCTGGAGCGTTGCATAAACTAAAGGGCATTACGTAGAA